ATAATCTGTGCTCACTGACGCAGTGCATCGAAATAGCAGAAAAGGAACACAGGCCCCTGTGGCTAGCATTTTTGGATATCAAGGGAGCGTACGATAGCGTGGTTCAAGAGGACTTGTGGGGAATACTGGACACACTAGGTGTGGAAGATGGAGTCACTAATCTTTTAAAGGATATCTGTAAAGGTAATAAGGCAGTTAAAAAGTGGGAAAAACAGGTATCCAAGCCTGCAGAGGTAAAACGGGGGCTTAGGCAGGGGTGTCCTCTATCACCCTTGTTATTCATGATGTACCTACAAGGATTAGAGGCCAAATTAGAGAGAAGTGGACTGAAATTCAACCTCTCTCTTTCGTCAAACAAGGAAAACTCATTGAACAGGCACTACCAGCATTGATCTACGCAGATTATATAGTGCTAATGGCCGACAACAAGGAAGATTTGCAGAGATTGATGGACATCTGTGGTAATGAGGGAGATAAGTTAGATTTCAGATTCAGTAAGGAAAAATCAGCAGTCATGATTTTTAATGATAATGAAGATAGTGAGCTTAGAATACAGGAGGTCACACTAGAGATAACAGGTAAATACAAATATCTGGGCGTATGAATAAGCAATGGGACGGAGTACCTAAGAGAACACGAAATACACGTGACGACTATAGGTAACAGGAATGCAGTGGTGATGAAAAACAGGGCACTGTGGAATTATAATAGATATTGCTACGTTGCTGACGTATCAGCGGTCAGAAGACGACAACGAGGAAGTGGCCTGTCGGTTGTGCGTGCTGTCTTTCATCTTAGTCGACACCATACGCATCAGTTTGAATATAGATTTTAAATAGACACGCCTCATGTCATTTTTACGTAACATCTTTGTGGTGGAGGTGCTGGGTACTTCTCCATCTTCATCACGAAGCTCCGCAACGGCCGCATCATCATAGGTCCAACCATGTCACAGGTTTAACAACCATCGTCTTCGCCACCTGCCCCTACCGTGACTTCTACATACGTCGTTCTACCTCCTGCTCGTGATCCCGGTGTATTTTCCGGTCAGGATGGCGTTGACGTCGACAAATGGATCAACCGGTACGAACGGGTCAGCGCAAGCTATAGGTGGGACCCGACTCTTATGCTTGCCAATGTGCTTTTTTACTCGATGGCGCCACCTTCTTTTCATCTCTCGACCTCCGATCTGGCTACCGGCAAATCGCTGTAGATGACATGGACCGAGAAAAGACCGCCTTCGTTACCCCTGACGGTCTTTACCAATTCAAGGTCATGCCATTCGGGCTCTGCAACGCTCCAGCGATCTTCCAGAGAATGATGGACACGTTCCTACAAGGATTTAAATGGTCGACATGTTTGTGTTACCTGGACGACGTGATCATTTTCTCACCGACCTTTTCAACCCACCTTGAACGCCTTTCAACCATTCTATCCATATTTCGACGAGCCGGCCTGCAGCTCAATTCCTCCAAGTGCCACTTCGGTCTTCGTCAGATTACCGTATTGGGTCACCTTGTTGACGCTGCCGGCGTACGGCCAGACCCGGCGAAAGTACGCGCTGTAACAAACTTCCCAGTCCCACGCTCTGTCCATGATGTTCGCAGTTTTGTGGGCCTCTGCTCCTACTTTCGCCGGTTCGTGAAAAACTTTGCGGCACTCGCAGGCCACTCACCGACCTTCTCAAACAAGACGTCCCATTTTGTTGGGGCCCTCCTCAAGCTGACGCCTTCTCTCAGCTAAGCACCGCTCTAACGACACCTCCTATTCTTGCACATTTCGACCCTGATGCTCCTACAGAAGTGCGAACAGACGCGAGTTGTCATGGAATTGGTGCAGTTTTGGCGCAAATTCAGCGGGGCAACGACCGTGTAATCGCGTACGCAAGCCGTCTGCTTTCTAAGTCTGAACGCAATTATTCTATAACAGAACGGGAATGTCTCGCCCTTGTTTGGGCGGTCTCAAAATTCCGTCCTTACTTGTATGGCCTATCTTTCCGTGTCATCACAGATCATCACGCGCTGTGTAGGCTTTCTTCTCTGAAGGACCCCACTGGACGACTTGGTCGTTGGGCATTACGCCTACAGGAGTATTCTTACTCGGTTGCTTATAAGTCTGGACGTCTCCATCTGGACGCCGATTGCTTATCCCGCTACCCTGTTGATCAGCCCGACGAACCAGACATCGAGCCTAGCCTCAGCGTCATGTCAATGTCCCAGTTTCTTCAGATTGGTGATGAACAACGTCGTGATGCTTCTCTGCGACAACTTATTGACCGTCTCGCATCTGCTCCGAATGACACGTCTCTTCGCATGTACGTCCTCCTGAATGGCATGCTGTACCGTCGTAGCCTTCAGCCAGATGGCCCTGAGCTCCTTCTTGTCGTGCCGAAAAATTTGCGTTCAACCGTGCTGCACGAGCTTCACGATGAACCAACTGCTGGTTATCTGGGTGTATTTCGGACGTACGACCGCGTGCGTCGCCGCTTCTTGTGGCGCGGTCTCGCCCGGTCCGTTCGCCGTTACGTGTCCTCCTGCGATAAATGCCAACATAGGAAGCGACCTACTGCGCCCCCGGCTGGACTTCTTCAACCGATCTCCATCCCAACCGAACTTTTCTTCCGTGTTGGTATAGATCTTCTCGGTCCTTTCCCCAAGTCGAAATCGGGCAACAAGTGGGTCGCCGTTGCTATAGACTATGCGACTAGGTATGCCATCACTCGAGCGCTCCCCACCAGCACCGCTACTGACGTTGCAGACTTTTTGCTCCACGACGTCATCCTACACCATGGCGCTCCTCGCCAATTACTCACGGATCGCGGCCGCGCATTTTTGTCCCATGTGATCGACGATCTTCTGCGCTCTTCCTCGACGCACCACAAGCTGACCACTTACTACCATCCCCAAACAAGTGGCCTTACTGAACGGCTAAATCGGACTCTCACGGACATGCTCGCGATGTATGTGTCCTCCGACCACCATGACTGGGACCTGGCGCTACCTCACGTGAGCTTCGCGTACAATTCTTTGCGCCACGACACCACTGGTTATTCACTCTTTTATTTGCTTTATGGCCGTGATCCGAAGTTACCACTCGACACCTTACTTCCAACCACTACAACGCCGTCAACTGAATATGCACTAGACGCTATTGCTTGTGCCGACCATGCACGTCAGATCGCCCGCTCTAGACTTTCGGCTTCGTAAGCCACCCAGAAAGCCATCTACGACAGCCGGCATGCTGACGTTCAGTTCTCACCCGGTTCTCTTGTTCTCCTGTGGTGCCCAGTTCGTCGAGTTGGCTTATCAGAGAAGTTGTTGTCTAACTACATGGGTCCTTACTGTATCATCCGCCAGGTAACCGACGTCACCTATGAGATCATTCCTGCATCTGAGACCACAAGCCTGCCTGCAACCACACCCAGTGATGTTGTGCACGTCAGCAGGCTAAAACCTTACCACCTGCCTACTGAAGACCGTAGTTAATGTGCACCGAGACGGTACTTTTACCCCCGGGGGGGTAATGCTACGTTGCTGACGTATCAGCGGTCAGAAGATGACAACGAGGAAGTGGCCTGTCAGTTGTGCGTGCTGTCTTCCATCTTAGTCGACGCCATACGCATCAGTTTGAATATAGATTTTAAATAGACACGCCTCATGTCATTTTTACGTAACAATATGATGTTGAGAGAGGAATATGGAAAGGGGTCATGGTTCCTGGTCTAACGTTCTTCAGTAATGCGGTCTTGTGCATGAGATCAGAAATTCAAGCAAGATTAGAAATTAAGCAACGTGGAATAGGTAGGCTTGTCTTAGGGGCTCACGGGAATACACCAAATCAGGGAGTACAAGGTGATATGGGATGGACATCATTTCAGGGCAGGGAAGCTAGCAGCAAGATAAAATTTTAGAAGCGATTGAGAGAAATGGGGGAGGAGCGTTGGGCTAGGAAGGTATTCAGCTGCTCGTACATGAAGAATGTCAATACAAAATGGAGGAAGCGAACCAGAAAATTGACTGGTAAATACTTAGAAAACAGCAGGGGGCCAAACGAGAAAGAATTATCGGTTAAGAAGAATGTGAAGGAAGCTGAGACCGATATGTGGAGAATTGGCATGATCAAGAAGTCCGCACTAGAGATCTATCGAACCTTTAAGCAGGATATTGCCAAGGAAAGGATCTATGATAATACTCGGGGTAGTTCTCTACTGTTTGAGGCCAGGACAGGAGTATTGCCAACCAAGACATATCGGGCTGAATACGAAGGGGTAGACACTGTATGCAGTGCGTGTGGAGAGGAAGAGGAAATTGCCGAACACTTTATAATGTTCTGTAAAGGGCTTCACCCTATAGTTCAGGACGATGGCGCAGAGTTTTTCAAAGCACTGGGGTTTAGGGACAGGGATGGCAAATAGACTTTAAGTAGGTAGAATTAACTAGAACGAGGTTATCTGATTGGTGGCTAAAGTCAAGGCACGAGTGAAAATTAAACCATTCACTGCAAAGCATGAGTCCTCAACCTCACTATTTAAAGGAAAAAAAATAAATCTAGTTTTTGGGTCACTAAGTATTACGGCTTGGTGACGTTAGCCACCGCCCGATCTAAAGGGTACAGCCATATCAATCAATCCATCCATCCATCCTTGAAAATAATATCACTAGGTACCCTTCGTGGATAGGCTGTGAATTTTTTATATACAATGAAGCATGGCTTCAGTTATAGATCCATTAAAAATAATTTTACTAATTAGTATTTACTGAAGCAACCTTTTTTTTCCCTGACAAACGAATTCTTCATTTGATAAAACTAAGGCGTACAAGCGGATGTAATTGTCCTTGATGTAAATTGTGTATGACAATTACAAAGAAAAAAAGCCAACAAGCAAATCAAGAATGTGCTGACACTTTATAACAGAGATATCCTATTAGATTGCTTGATAACATAGTTACGTACATGTAGAGAATAAAAAAAAGTTTATTATTCTCTACGTGAGAACTTGCCTTGAGGGACAGCATCACAATATCATCGGTTGTCTCCTGCAGAACGTAGACTAGAAAATTTAGCAGCATCTGGTCCTGCAACCCAATGAGATCGAAGACTGCTTAAATCATTGCTCACCAGCAACAACAATACAAGAGATTCAACGCTAATGACAGATGACAACGAAAGAAAAGAAATAAAAACTGTGCGCCTATCTTACCTCGCATAGCAAGTTGCGCTGCTCTTCTACGTCCATGAGCGTCTCGTACAGCAACAACAAGTCTTTGGTGGCTTCCAGATTTATGGAACCCCTGCGGGGAGAGAGATTTGCGTCAATCGCATAGCCGGAAGACATTAATTAGTCGTAATTCTTACATGATCGGCGCCGATTATGCTCAATCTAGTTTTAAAACTGATGCCTTTTAAGACAGAACAGCCAGCAAAACCCGATTCAAAACGTGCTGCAAAAAGAATAAACGCTGAATCTTTGGTGAAAAGGGGCATGTTAACAAGTGACTATTTAGCCGCAAATTCAACTTGTTTTCCCGTTGTTGTAATATTTTTGCATGATTATTTTTTGGGAGGTCTGGAGAGCGCGGTGGAGGTGTACCAGCATCGCCTTTTCTTGTTCTATCCATCCGTCATTCGTATCGGGCGCCATGTTTTGAACGAACGTCGTTGTGTTGTTCGTCGTGTGGTTCGATTCGTCGCGCAGTTCGGTTAGGGCCACTCTAGTTCAAAAAGGCTGACAGTCCTCATGCATTTTCACAGTATAAAGAAGAAGGTTCAGCAGGACTCAGACGCACGCGCAAGTTGACTTCGCGACAGCTACGATTGAGTTGAGCGCTGTCTCAGCGACACACGCGATCTGCAAGGTAAGCTATGGCATCGTTTCTGCGTGAACACCAAAACAGGTTCCATGTATGCGCCTGTCACCTTGCTGACGCTCGTTTGCGGCAGTTTGCCGTTCGGCCGTAGCTTGACCGGCTAGGTTCTGTTTCACTTGTGGCACGTGCAGGCTTTCGAAAGGGTTTCTGACGCATTCGAACGATTTTTCTCAGAATTACCGTGGAAGAGAGCTGAGTTAGTTGGTAGGTGTTCATGTTAAACACGGTGTGCAAGCACTTACACGATAGAGAGATGAAGGCACCATAAAGGCCGACTAGTAGCCAGGGTCGTAAGCAGAAATTGTGTACGGGACTGGGGGCACCTCTATCTGATGGACGGTGTGCTCTGTATGGCACGACAGAAAAAAGAGCCTCCCCAAGGAACAAAAAAGTCTCCCCAAGTTTTTGTATTCATCCCTTCGCCCCCCCCCCCCCCTCTTAAAAAAGCAAATAAATAAAACAAAACGTGATGCCAAAGTTCCCTGCCCCCCCCCCCCCCCCCCCCTCCAGTAAAAAAATTACTGGTGTCGCCCCCGATTTGCTGTGCTTTACTAAGCTAATGTCACTTTACTTCTTCTCTTGACAAGATGCGAACTGATATATGTTTCGTAAAACTTATTAACAAACTTACTGATTGCTGTACATGTGTGCTGTGGGAGTTTTGAGGCTACCTTCTTTTCAAATGCTTTGTTCCTTTTGAGTTTCTAGTCAGCATTTGTAGTGTAATGTCTTCTCTCTTGACTCCTTGTTTAAATTCCCCGTCACTTTAAAGGAACATTAGAGAGAAAAGGATTTTTCTTAACTTAGTAAATTAGTATCACAATAACAAAAACACCACTCTTACCATTAGAAAAATACTTGGAAAGCAAGCAGATTGCGAGAAAGGGGCGCGCGATTGGTGATGCCACCTTCCAATTCCCACATCAAACTTGGGGATGTTGTAGATTTTCATAGTGGGCTAGGTCCTACCTAGCTCCTGGATGAAATAAAATAAAAATGAAATAAATTTCCTTCTGATGAGGGCCATATACTTGAAATACCAAGTTTCACAACATCATGTTGAGCCGACGTTGCCCAAAATGTAGTAAAAGAATACCCTTCATAATCTATAATGTCACGCATAGATTTCAGTGTGAAATCTAAGAATGAAACTTTGACCTCAATTTCCTCCTCTGTTAATAAGTAAATGGTGTGTTTAATCACCTAAGAGCATTCAAGGCACAATTTATCAATCAATACTTATTCATTGTGTCGCTTTAGTGTCCCTATAACTTGAGCCGTGGCTAGATTGAGCTGTCACTGAACCATTGCAATCGTATAATGGTGCCTAGCACTCTAGCTAATTGTTCTAAGTGTCGAGTTGAATAACCAGAGGTCTCACCATTTCTCCCGTCCTTTGCAACCAGAATGTCAGAGAAGCGGAAGTCTCGGTACGAGACGCTGCCGTACCGATGTCTTTCGTGGCTTTGCTCCAAGATGGACATCCTCTCTGTGAGTATTGGTTCAATGCTTACCATCTTTTCACATAACTTCTGTAAGTGAATTTGTTCAAGAACGATTTTGCTGCTAGACCAAGGATGCCAAGAGATAATGTGCTCCTGAGGACGAATACAAGCATACTGTTGAATGAATTAAAGGTAGTATGCCAGCAGAACAACTGAAAGAAACACTAATATTATTTACGCACACTACAGCCATGCTATAGCGGGGCTCACATACACTCATTGGCAGAAAAATCAAGTGCTGGCCAATCCTTAAAAAAAAAGAAACAGATGCTCTGGATTGACTACGAAAGCCTTGTTCACAAAGCAAGTAATCCTTAAAAAAAAAAACTTATTCAATACACTTTGCAATGAGCCATTTGTAACGGTTGTAGATCAGGGGCAGATTGCCTGTGTTGCCAACAGGTCGTACATCGTTGTTTGAACGTGAAGAGATTCTAAATGAAGTCTTGCCGTCTTGCTTCTTTCTTTTGTTTCTTTTATGTTAGCATTGTGTACAGTTACAATCCTGGCTTGTGGAAACTGCATGTCCAGCCATTTCTGACATGCCTGTTTCGTCTACATACACGTGTCCAGAACCGCCACATGGCATCTTGTTAACGACACCAGAAAACTGTTTTGGTGTTTTGCAAGCTTGACGTTTGCCAATGATTGCCTAAGCTTGCATGTAGGGACATGAGCAAGATTGATGTCGTGCAACTGAAAAGCACAGGACAGGCCTTCGCATACACTGGGCTCGTAGAACACAGGAATCCTGTGTCTTCAAGCATATAAGTTGAATATATACTGGTTTCATTTCAGGCCTGCAGTTAAATCTCCTGTTTGGGGACCTGTACAGGGCCTTGTCGCCAGCACCGGGTTTAATTCTTTAGCCTGTGTATTAGTGTTGGTCTTCAGAGCACAGGTTATTGGTTATAATATGCAGTAGCTGCTTTTCAACGAAGTTGAATCAAACTTGTTAAAGGGACACAAAACGAAAATCGGAAAAATTGACAAAACGTCGAAATTCGGCTCTGAAGATGCAACTTTTACGATAAACAGAGTTAATCTTTCGTATTTTTTAAGAGTTGGCTGTATTTTTTATTGATTGTAACTGCACGCCGGCTGCACGCTACCGCGAGTCGTGACGCCACTCGCCGAGGCGCATGCAGGATGCACGTGCATCTCTCCCCCTCCTTTTCATCCTCCTCTCCACTTTCTTCCACGAAAGCGCTGTTGTTTTGCCCGGGATGAGAGCATTGTTCGCCACCGGTGTTATTCGTACTGGCTTTGGGAACTTTAGGGGGAGCTGACCGAGTCGAGAGGCGCTTAGACGGCTGGCATTGTTGACTTGCCTGTTTCGGGCACATGCGTCATCGTCGTCTCTAGTTCAAGGCACGGCCGCTAGACGCGTCAGTTTCCAAGAAATGCATTAGATTCGTCAATCTTTTTCCTCTAGTTTTTGAATGTTGTCCCTATTGATTTCAGGACCCAATCTTTCGATTTAGTTGAAAACATCGGCGGCAGAAATTTCGTTCAGTATTCTTTTCAAACAGCTTTATAGCTAGTCAGCGAGCAGTTCTTGTCCCTTTATTGGGTGCCCCTTATATGCAGGGTACCAGATTCTCATTTTTTTATCCATACTTATTTTGATGTAGGCACACTGGTGTCTCTAATACGTAGTTGTCTGTTCCATCAGCATTTTACAAAGGGTTAGGCTGTATGATAGTATTCAGTCTCTCATAATCATATGGTGGTTTGGGATGTTAAACCCCATAAATTATTATTATTGTATGATAGTATTGTGCCTATTGTATTACAGCCCAGGCATAGGTGTTTTTCATCTTGGGGCACAAGTGTTTCTCATTACGATTTGAACTTGATTCGGAGGTTTACTTAATTTTGCCACTTTTCAAAAACTGAAAAATAAACTAATGCTCAAGAGAACAAAAATCGGCTTCAAGGGCTGTAATTTTTCGAGAAGCAGCGAAGTTGTTTGATTTCATGTATGTATTTATATAGCAGCACTTTGAGTAAAAATTTTTTTAAAAGTATTATAACTTTGCTCGTTGAAGTCATAGGCACTAGGTTCTAGCTACAGTACGATATGCCGGGCCTGCCCTTGTCGTGCGACTTCCTCACACTTGCTAATCACCTGCTTCAGATGGGAGGAGCCAACTCTCAGTGTAGCAGGGATAGTGATCCTGTTTTTTTCCGGAATTTCATTTCAGCCACAAAACGATGCCATGAATGAATTAGCTAGTGCTCTAGCAACGCTTGTGGAGTGGTCTATTGGAAGCTGGCAAAAGTTGAAGCACTTCAGAATGGTTTGTTTGCTTTTTTGTGCATTTATTCTTACTGACAACGCAGAAATAGGACTTTGTGCATGGTGTTCACTTATTTGGCAAAACTGGGTGAAGCATGATTGCACTAGTTTGCCTATGTGTATGTTGACAATTTAGGCAGAGGGCTTTGCATGAGATTATGAAAACTCTACACCACTACTATAGCTGAAAACGAAGCTGTTTTCTTTTTCATGGTCATGTTCAAATAAATTGGATAACTTCACTATTGAAAATGTCTCGGCATAATTGCAATGTGACTACCACCTTGGCTAGGTCAGCAGAGGTTCATGTAAATTTGTGCTTTCCAATTTCTCTTGCTCTCTGTAGCATTGCCATTCTTGCGGGGCATGTCTAAAAGGTTCTTTGATGTTCTTGCACTTGCCCCCTTTTCCCCACCAGCCATCAACGTCGACTGAGTTGGCCTCCACGAGGGCCCCATCGGTCGACTTCGGCAATGTGAGCCGACTGCGCTCGCCCGTACCTAGAAGAGAAGGAGTCATGCTAAGGTGAGAATAGCCAGCTTTCATTTTGAAATTCTTAAGTAACCTTATTTGCAAGTTCTGTGCACAGCATTGTTCCTTAGTAAAGAGACAAAGGAAGAAAGGAAAACAACGACCCAGAGGTCATGGGATAAGTTCCCAGCCATCGTGACCACATTCTGATAGTGTTGGCCCTCTGTGCTTAGGTTCAGGTGCACGGAAAAAAAAAAATAAAACCCTGGATGTTAAATTTTTGGAGTCCTCCAGAATTGTGTCTTCTATTGTACAGTGGTTTCGTGGCGTGTAAATGCAACTACTATTATTGTTAAAACTGTAAAAACTTGTAACTGTAGCTGGAAGTGATGAAAGAGAAGTAGGTGTTTAATCTAGGTGTTCTATTTTGTTTAGTTTTTTTTAACTCGAAACAACCACATGGCGGCGAATAGATAGTTGACCCAAGGAAAGCGTGCACAGTCTTGCTTGTAGTTTTCAACTAAAGTGTGGTAGTTACAAGACCATTATATGTCCAACATTCTTATGGCTCAGTGGGGTTTCGTAGTGCATGCACTTGTTATCACATAATAGCAAAAAAAAAATGCAGTGAAAGAAAGAGGGGGAGCTTCATACAGATACCGTCATACAAATATCACACCTTGCTATTTTCTAATATCGTATAAGGTAGGGTTAACGACACTTTGTCGGTCTAGACTGTCAACGCTGTGCAAAAGGCAAGGACGAAATCCCAGGTGATGAAAAACACCAGGTGCTCAAATTAGTCCAGAGCACCCAGCTAAAGCATGCCTCGTGATCTTGTTGTGGAACTAGCGCATGAAACCGTGGGACTTGTTTAAGCATACAAAGAAACTTCACTGTAGCTTCCTTTCAGTACTTATTTAAGGCTCACCAACGGTTCTATCAGTTTTCTTCAGTCACTGTGGCGGCTGTATTTTCAATGCAGGCAAAAATGTTGTAGGCCGGTGTGCTCAGGTTTGGGTGCACATTGAAGAACGCCAGATGGTCGAAATTTCCGGAGGCCTCTACTACGGCGTCTCTCGCATTCATATGGTGGTTTTGGAACATTAAACCCCACATACCAATAAATCGGCTTTCTTCAGTCAGTTCTCCTCGGTCAGTTTTCCTCAGTCGGTTTTTTTTAGTCAGTTCTATTCAGTCACTTTTCCTCGGTCAGCCTTTGTCAGTTGGTCCTGTTCAGTCAGTTTTTCTCACTCAGTTTTCTTCAGTCAGTCTTCCTCATTCACCTTTTGCTAGCCTCTCTTTGATAGTCATTTTTCGTCAGTCAGTTTCTTTTTAAGCTGCCAGAAAAATATAGCCTATTTTCTTGTTGACTGAAGAGCCACTTTATTGTAGAGCTGTGCAAAACATGTGCACGAAAAAATTGAACTAAATTATACCTCTGACAGGTGCTACAGGAGCAACTCCAGTGTAAGAGGGAGCAGCCTGCGGCCCCTGGGGCAATGCGGGTCGCGCGCGAGTACCGACACGGCCAGCCGCCAGTGCAGCCCCATCCCCGAGAGCATGGAGAGCGACATCTCGCTCCTCAAGGAGGAAGTGGCATCCCTCAGGAAGCAGTTCGAGGAGCTGGTCACCTCACAGAAAGGCAAGTGGCGGTGTCTTTCTCAGTTTCGCAACGTTGACTATAAATAGTTTTTCGTAACTTGCCATGTAGCCCCTTTGGAACGCGATGTAGTCCGTGGTTATAGTAGATTAATCTTAAGCGGAACCTGAAGTGTCGAGGAAAACGTTTCTATTTAATGGGAGTTCTGTTTACTCAGAGATGAACAAGAGTGAAACCAATCGTGCTAGAAGCAGTTATTCCATTTAAGCAGCAGTTCTGTTTCACTGAAAGTCTACTGTGCTTATTTAAAGAAATAGTATGCTTATATAAAAAATGGTAAAAAAATAAGAAAGGCATGCCAACTGCAGTGCCACTCAGCACATTCCACGGACCAGACAAACTGAGCAAGGCGAAGGCAGGCGTATAGCTGTTTCCTTTGCTCTCTCCCTCCACTCCTCATGCTTTTTTTTGCACATGCTTTCTCCTTCCCTTGCACTGTCCACAACGTGTGGCACAATCAGGGCATAGCAATCGTTCAACCTTCTTTCATAAGTGCTTCTGCTGACTAGCAGAGGCTGGCGACAGCAGAGAGCGTGAAGCAGGCAACAAAATGGGTTGGCATGTTGAAAACTGTAAAAGGCGAGCAGTGGCGATATCGCCATTAAAAGAGATTAATGTGTTTGAATAAAGAAGAGGTCGGCGGTGTTGCGTAGGCGGACCTCCGAAATCCCGCCGCTGACCTCCACTGTTGAGAACGACGGACCGATCCCGCCGAAGCCACCACTGTTGCGAAAGACGGCGACGCCAACACGGCCCCGGAGGCGCCACTGCTTTCAACTCCGCCGGGAAGGTCACCAGCCGTTTGGTAGCGTATGTTTCTCAGCCCGCGACTGCTTCTGCGCAGAGCTGATAAGACGAGCGGACGAGACGACGGTGCGTTAAACAAGGTTTATGTACAGCATATACAGAGGCGTTACAATTTCGGCACTGGGGCCGACAGAGACTCGAAGAGCCGAGCTCTCCTCTCTAACACATAGATCAGCCTTTCGCCTAAGACCGCTGACTCACACACATGTCGGCTCTCCGACATGGGGACTCTTCTCTCTAGGACTGCCGATCGCGACGCGCCGCAGGGCTTCTTTTATTTGCACCGGGTCCTACCAAAAAGTCCAATCAGAAGCGCCGCTGGTCGTCAGGGCAGGTTCCGCCAATGGGGCCGCCGCGCCATGCGTCAGACCACCCGGCACGAGGACGCCGGCTCGCTGTCACGTGCGCAGCTGACTCAATGCACGTGGGCCAGAGAAGCGCCGCGCGTGTTCACGCCGTTGAGATGTTCGCGTCAGGCGGACTGCGGGCTGGCCTTGACCCAGATTGCCTTTTTCAGAGGCACGGACGTTTGACGAGGACTCGCTGGCATAACAGCACCCCCGCCGCCAGACAATGCACCGGAAAGACGAGCTGCTTCCACGGGGCTCGGATGTCAGGTGCGCTCGTTCGCCAGGTCCCTCCAGGTTCGCCTCCAGGGCCATGGGGAGAATACAGCTCCAGACTGGTTCGGGAACACATTCCACTTTTGACGACGGATCCCAGCTCCACTGGCTTGTCGCCACAACTTGTCGACCAGCTTCACTCGTCTCTTCTGACCATCTTCGGTTTCAGCACTTGTCGATGGTTCTGCAACTTGCCAAGAACGGTTCGACAACAGACAACACACGACACAAGCAAGTGCCTTCGGTCACCCGACAGAACACCAGACAAAGTATGGTACAACATATACCTGTCTACGTGTCTATCGGAATTTTGTTCCCTCTACATCAAGAGGCACATGTGGGACAAAAGACCCTTAAAATGACAACTCATTTTTTTTTTTCCCACGTACAACAACGTAACGAATTAGAATACCACATAAAGTTGGCCCCTTGAGATCACTCTGAACGAGAGCGCTCAGCCCAGGTCGTGATGAGGTCAAAATTTTGCCCCGAATCGCCAGCGAGAAACCGAAAGGTTGAGAAGTTACTAGCTGGAACGCACTGCTCAATGCAACTGCATTAGCGTTTACCTTTCCTTTTTTTTTCTTTAGCGAACGTCAAAGTTGCGCTGTGGAGCAACATGCTCCACTTCAGTAACCGGCCACTTTTAGGCGACGATACCTATGCGGCACCAAGAGTGGCTCACACTTGCGACGTTGCACAGGGGAACACCGATACGGCTTGCTACGGATTGACTCCTCACCGCTTAGCTCGATATCGTGTTCGATCACCCTCATGTTTCCGGGGCGGTCCGAAAACACGTCTTCAAACTCGGAACCAATCTTTCTCAGGTCCGCTTTCTCAGGTCCTCCGTCACTTAAGCTAGGCTCTAGGTTCAGCTGTTCCCAGATTACTTTCGATCTCCTTTCGATTACCTCACTAGAACTAAAAATTTCTGCTTCCTCTTCCTCTGAAGCACTTAAGAGTAAATTTACGACTGCTTTCAAGTTCCTGTGATAAATTTTGTTCGGCCGCCTTCCTAATTTCACTTCATAATTTATATCGCAAGGCTTCGATGATACTTTGGCGGGCCCTTCCCAATCAACCTCAAGCTTGTTCCTTTTGGATGGCTGCAGCAGCATTACCTGATTATCAACTTCAAAAGCACGCTTCTTCACCGATTCCTCGTAGTGCTCCTTCGACAGCACTTTTGCCGCGTTTTTCTGGCTTTCCACTCGCGCTTCAATTTGGCTTTCCATTAGCGCTTCAATCGAGAAATCCTCACGCTGCTCTCGAATGAGCGTCTCTCGATCAACTCTCGGCAGCTCGCTCCAACTTTCCGCTACAGGCGAGAGCGTTGCAACCCTCTCGCTCTGATTCAATGGCGCCATGTCGTCTCCCCCAGCGCATACCGCGCCGGCCGCTCCCGCGACGGGCCGCTCGCGTGACTGCTCACATGACTCATGCGGAAAATTTTCTTTCTGGGGTTCCGTCGACCCGCCGACAAGGTCACTTGAGAGTTCACCGCATTGAACCAGATCAAGCTGCCGCGATAGCTTCTGCGCTTGCGATCGCGTGAGGGCCATGCACGCAAAGTTGGGGAAGAACGATTTGCCCTGCTCTTTGAGAAGCTGCTCCGAGTTGTTGGAGAAAAGATAAGAAAAACGATCATTTAGCGCGGCAGACACAGCCGCTTCGGTGCGAAGCTCACCGAACGGGCCTTCAATGACAACCGTGGCGATTGGTAAGCGAACACTCTGCTCTTCGGCGACTTGCCTGATCCACGCGCATTCTCCTGTAAAGTCATCCGGAGACACCAATGAAGGATGGACAACGTCCATGGTTGCCGCTGAGTCTCTAAGTGCTCGGCACGTTTTCTCATTGACCCTAATTTCTTGGAGATACGGCTCCAACAACCGAATGTTTTTTTCTGATTCTCGGATCGTTGCGAAGGCAAACTTTTCCTGACAGTTTCTAGCGATGTGCCCTTCCTTTTTACAGTTGTAGCAGATTAGCGGCTTCCGTTTGTTTTCCGATTCAAACGCCTGTGTGGTAGAAACCTCACTCGATTTCTCCGCTTCTGTTTGCCCTTCCCCTACACTGTCCTTCGTAAGAGACGGGTCCTTTTTGAAATTACGGTGCGGAACGGGTTTCCGTTGATCAGGTTTCCTTGAAAAGCCCTCTTTTCTCTCATCCTTTTCAACGCGCACTGCCCTGCTGTGCAACTTTCGGCGAGTATAATACTCCTCAGCTAACTCTGCTGCCTTGTTTAGCTTTACTTCACCAAGTCTGTCCTGCAGCCAAAGCCTGACATTATCCTCGATGCAGCGGTAGAATTGCTCCAATGCAACGCATTCCACCACTTTATCGCGGTCGTCATAAGCACCTTCGCCCTTGAGCCATTCGATTAAATCGGCCTTAAGACGAAACGCGAAGTCAACATGTGACTCATTCCCCTTTTCAGCATACCGAAACCTTTGCCTGAAAGCCTCGGGTGACAACTTATAACGTCTCAAGAGCACTTCCTTAACCTCGTCATAGCTCTCAAACGCTTCCCTCGACAAGCAAGTTATCGCGTCGGACACTTCGCCGGGAAGAAGAGCTAGCAGGTTCCGCGCCCAAAGAGACCGCTCCAAAGCGTTTCGCTCACAGACGTGTTCAAACTTGACGAGATACTTCGCCATGTCCTCGCCTACTACGAACGGTGGCAGTTGGTCACGAATTCTAAAACCGCTGACCTGAATCGTCGGAGAAGCTACGCTAGGCGCCTGCGAACACTGTAGGATTGCCAATTCTAGTCGTTTCATCTCAAGGCGCTCCTGTCTCTCGGCCTCCTCGCGCTCGCGACGTTCGCGCCTTTCAGCTTCTTCGCGAGCTTCGCGCCTTTCAGCCTCCTCACGTTCGCGAGCTTCTACTTCTCGCCTTTCAGCCTCCTCACGGCGTGCTTTAATATCCACCCAGGCCTCATCGACTTCCTCAGCCGACACTCCCTCATCCTTCATGATCTCAAGGATCGCTTGCTTTCGTTTCGCACGGCCCAAAGTAATGCCGAGTTCCTCACAAATTTCTACGAGTTCCTTCACTTTAAGGTTCTCCATCGTTCACACTAGCCTCTTGCTGTTTGCCCCTGTTAACAATTTACTTGCCGTACCCACTATAAGTCAACTAGCAAGACGCGCAAGCAATTTTTTACTCTCCCGTGTTTACCCCCTCCGCATTAACTTTGGTTTCAAAGCACTTCGACTTTGCTTGAAACGATCAAAGCTCACTCTAATGCTTCACACAGCCCTTCTCTAAACTACTACAACCTGAGCTAGAGTAGTCTGGTGAACTGAGGGGAAAACATCAGGCACTCACCGCATCGATGTCGCTGACGCCGGCCGATCCCGCAGCTGCCAACCACTGTTGCGAACGACGGACCTCTCCCGCCGAAGCCACCACTGTTGCGTAGGCGGACCTCCGAAATCCCGCCGCTGACCTCCACTGTTGAGAACGACGGACCGATCCCGCCGAAGCCACCACTGTTGCGAAAGACGGCGACGCCAACACGGCCCCGGAGGCGCCACTGCTTTCAACTCCGCCGGGAAGGTCACCAGCCGTTTGGTAGCGTATGTTTCTCAGCCCGCGACTGCTTCTGCGCAGAGCTGATAAGACGAGCGGACGAGACGACGGTGCGTTAAACAAGGTTTATGTACAGCATATATACAGAGGCGTTACAATTTCGGCACTGGGGCCGACAGAGACTCGAAGAGCCGAGCTCTCCTCTCTAACACATAGATCAGCCTTTCGCCTAAGACCGCTGACTCACACACATGTCGGCTCTCCGACATGGGGACTCTTCTCTCTAGGACTGCCGATCGCGACGCGCCGCAGGGCTTCTTTTATTTGCACCGGGTCCTACCAAAAAGTCCAATCAGAAGCGCCGCTGGTCGTCAGGGCAGGTTCCGCCAATGGGGCCGCCGCGCCATGCGTCAGACCACCCGGCACGAGGACGCCGGCTCGCTGTCACGTGCGCAGCTGACTCAATGCACGTGGGCCAGAGAAGCGCCGCGCGTGTTCACGCCGTTGAGATGTTCGCGTCAGGCGGACTGCGGGCTGGCCTTGACCCAGATTGCCTTTTTCAGAGGCACGGACGTTTGACGAGGACTCGCTGGCATAACAGCGGGGAGCTTCGCCATGGGACAAGCAGCCATGAGAATGCAGTAAAGTTTGACTGTACAATGTTGCTTTGCCTGCTCTTATGGTGCAGGCTGCTGCTTTATTCTTTTACAGCGAAAGCTGTTATGAGATAAAAACTCTGGTAATGTGCGGCGCCGTAGTTCTGCACCGCCTTCACCACTGGTGTCTGTAACCACATCGCACCAAATAAGAAAAAAAAAACCTAGTACCAATGACACAATGGGGCTCGAACCCGGGTCCGCTGGGTGCCAGCTCAGTATTCTACCAATGAGGTAAGCCGCTGCTTGGGACTTGTCGTAGTGGGTATCAAGCAAGTGTGCTTTGCAGCCGTTACCCAATGAGTGTTTAGGAAAGGCTCTGAAAGGCTGATCTTCTAGCTTTCGCTGTGACTGTGCTGCGCCTTCTGCGCAGGCTTGGCGTTTTTTCCTACCTCACAATAAAGAATGTACACTGTTGCTCTAGCAACACGGAGACCCCCCCTCACCTAACCACGACAATGCTGGAAGATGAGCGTCTCTCCTCGGCTTTTCTTCAGTTGTAGCACCATCTGACAAACAGGCTGTGAAGCTAGATAGGGCTTTTCTTTAATGCGTCACTTTCAGGCAAGCAGATTTCGTGCCCCGGTCTGATTCAACCCCAGAAATTGGGGTTGAAGCCCAGTGATAGTGCAAGTTGATGTGGGAACTTTCAACTGCTGTTTTTATTTTGCATATTATTTAACACACTGTGCACCTTTGGTTGGTAGGGGTAAAAACGCTGTGTACTTTTGATTGGCGGAGTAAGCGCTGTGTACCTTTGATTGGCAATAGTAATGTTTCTGTCATTGTGGAAGGGTAAATTTCCAACGCGATTTCCATGTTGTGCGGTAAGGTGATTCGTGCCATATTTTTGTCTAATTGGGTTCGCTTTAGGCCTTTTTTGAGTCATGCGATCAATTACGTTTCAGACGCTGAGATGCGCAGCAGCTACTCAGTAGCTTCTGCTCCCAGCGGAGCTGCTCCACCAGCACCGTCTCTGCCACCTCCTCCACCTCCACCACCACCGCCTCCAAACTTCTTTGCACCTGCCCAAGTGGTTATCCGCAAGGTATGTGCCAAAGTGCCAGATACAAAAAAACAACAACACTGGCACTCTGTGTCTCCTGCATGTTCTGCATGCTATCGTTGTAGAGCGTGCTCTAAATGCAAGAGCATCGAGTACCAACTTGCCCGCTACCCGCCGCGGCGTTCCAACTGGTTATGGCGCTCGACTCCTGACTTGCAGGTCTTGGAATCAAATCCCAGCTACCGTGACCACAGTTTAAATGGAGGTGAAAGTGCTTGAGGCTCGTGTAAAGTAAAGCCTCGTTAATTCAAGCTATGTTACTTTGAAATCCCACTTAATTTGAAATTTTTCTGCCGTCCAATATTTTGCAATGTAAGTCTGGGCGTGTAATTTGAAGCGCCGGTCAGCACCGATCCGGATAACTTGAAAACTTTGTGTGCCATGGGGCCGATTCCCGGGCTCGATTTTGCCTCAAATTTCTGGAAACGACGGCACTTAAAAGCCACAAGGCAATGCAATGCAGCGATACTAATAAGTGGCAGCTGAAGCACCCAGGCCTTGCTACTTCTAGCAAAAGAGATAAATAATTAATGAAATAAATAAAAAGAACCAAACTAGTCTCGTGATCAACCAAAATGTGCACCTTCAGAACACACGATGTGCTTCACTGCAAACACAGCAGTGCTGTGTGGGCAGCATATCGCATATATCTCACAATGTCTGCAAGTCATGGTGTACCCATTCTTTCTGAGATTGTAAAGTCAATAAAGGACAGTTTGGCAGAATTGGCAATGTGCGCAAATGTCCGATTGCCGGTTACTCCAGCAGTTTGCGGACTTGCACTGGGGGTGGAGTTCTTGCCTGCTACGTCTTACTTTGACAACTAAGTTGGAACGTTTCAGTGAACATGTTTTCCAGGGAAAAGACATTGTGAATTTTGTCGCACCGGCCAGTATTAAATTTTTTATTTTACCATAAAGAATGTGTAAATGGTCGCATCGTAATGTGCGGACGCACTGAGGAGCAGGCGTCCTGCTGCCCACGTGTCTCTACTCTGTTGTACTGAAGATGTCTCTTTTTCCGCAAGCACGCATTTCAGTTAATCACTTTTTTTTGCGTTGGCAGCAGTGAGGTTCTAGTGTTGGCAGCAAAATTAAGACCAGGTATTACTAGAAAACATGACCCTTGGAGCTGTAAACTAGCGGGCACAGCAAAGGACGAGCAGCATCCCGCTTCTGTATGTTCTGTTCATTTGAAAACCAGCTTAATTCAAAAATTTCTCGCGACTCTGGCGACTTTGAATTAACAAGGTTTCGTGGTACTTCGATTTAGGTGCGTATTAAAGAACCCCAGGCGATCAAAATTTCCAGACCCCTCTATAACAGCTTTTCTCATAATACCTAGGTTTTGGGACCTTAAGGTGACGGTACCACCGTCGCCATCTTGCGAGTAGTTTCTGCTTGAGCCACCAGAAGACGCCACTAAGTCACGTTTGGAAAAAAGGGAGGAAAATGCACTCTCCGCCATGGTAGCATGCAGTGGCGAAGAGCCTGTTCCTGCTGGAACTAATCCATTCTTTTCAGGGGTGCCGCTGCTCCCATATCTCCTTTGAAACGTTTCAAATGTGCCTGACGCCCTCCCGCCCCCCCCCCCCGCTCCCCAATAACAACAACAGCAACAAAAAAAGGCACGGACCCGAGAGCCTTTGTACTCCCGTGCAACTGTCCGGAAAAGAGGTGCCTCTCTCTCTCCTGGTAACGTATAACTAAACTAAACCGCGCTGCCGCAAGGGTTGCTGGAAATAATGGTTTGGTTTCTGAACCGACTCTTTCTCTTCCTCGCTAAAAAAGAGTAGAAAGAAAAAGAGTAGTTCTCGAGGAAGTTGTTCAGTGGCCCTGAATACCGGCAGTGTTGGGTCGCGTGGAACAACGCCGACCTTGTGCACGTGCATAGTAATTATAGATTTCTCCACGGTCAGCAGCTTTGGTTCGACTGTGAATGTAGTGTGGGTGTCGCGCATGGTCCGCTTGATACTTATGTCGCTACATTCAGAAGCTACCCAGGAAGCTCCTTTCCACTACTTCCTGGCTATCATTACACAAAGCCCCTTTTCCGTGCCTTGCAGTGAGCCAAAAATGGTGATTTTGTATGCATGAACGACAGAAGGGCTTTGCCTTTTTGCTAGCGAGAACACTATGAGCCTCATGCATCCCAAAACAGATGTATGGGGCGCAGGTGGCTATCAGTGGCGCCTCTATAGGCGGTGCACAAGGCGTATACACGAATGCGCTGCTCAGCTTTAGCGAAACATATGAGAGACAAATTTTTCATCTATAAAACGAGTCCTCCTAGCACCGCACCGAAGAGCGCAAGTCGTAACACAGATGCGAATTGCGTCCTTTTGGAAGTATTGAATAATAAAATGCGTAAAGGCTCTTTCTCAGCGAAACCCAACCTATCTGTATAGACCTAGAGTCGACACCCGAAAACTAGCTCAGCTTTTCCAAGAGGCTGTCCAATAAGGCACACGGAAGCGATTGTTCTTGTACTAAAATTATAATTTCATCCCGCAGGTTGGCTGCTAATGGCAAAGTCTGGCAACATTGGGCAATGTGCATTATTTTCAGCTGTCTAGATAGCAGCAGAAGCTGTTTGGCTCTGTTACTCCCCCAAAACATGGCGTCAAGTCACCACCACTTGCACCACTTCGCATGCGCAGGCTAGTCTCCCGAAAAAAAGTCCATTGTTATCCTAGTTCAACCGGCGTCACATGAAATATTCAAACACACATACACTGCCAGACACTCGTCACCTCCCTGCGATGGGAAAGCGCGCTTCAGATAATGTCCTACCGGCTTCAAAAATATGGGGAGGCAAGGTCCAGTTCTTTGTGTCCTTCAAAAACGCTTCTACAGTCACCTGAGTACAAAGGCGAGCAACCAAGCAATTCCTGGAATCTTTGGCACAATAGCCTAACCTGCTGGCTATGCATTCCTGATGTACAGTGCAACACGCTTTATTCCCTTCTTCCTTTCTCTCTCTCTCCTTTTCTTTCTTTTTCAGCAGGATTTAGCCACTGAAGTCTAAAGAAGTCCATCCGTGTTTTGGCGGCTTAGTTATGTTTAGAAGCGCCACTTTTGATGAACGTCGAAACTGACGTGAAACTCAATAAACAATTGTATCAGGCCAGTTGGTAAGGATCCATCTTGCTAAGAAGCGCAGCCACTATAACAAAGAACACACAACACAAGAGCTTAACTTCAACTAAACGTTTATTTCAAACGTCAGAGTATATAAAGGGGAAGAAAAGAGAAAAAGAGCAAAGTGAATAAAAAAGATAAAAATGGTAGACATCAAAAAACACACGTGCCAGTCCCGTACATCGCTATCCGTTATTGTCTATCACCCCATCCAAAAAACATAGTTCTTTCCGCGTGAGCGAGATAGAGGGTGCACTAACACAATCAAAATTATCGCGTGTCATTTCAGCCGCTTCTACTATCAAACGGGTTAACAAATCTCTGTCTCGATACAGCACGCACGTGTTATCAAAATAAGGCACACAACCGCACTCCTTACAGTGGATCGCCAAGTGACCATCAGTACCCTTCTGCACTTTATTGTGGTGCTCCTTTAGCCTTTCATTGATGCATCTTTCGGTTGTTCCCACATAAACAAGACCACATGACAAGGGAACTCTGTAAACAACAGACTGTGCACACTCCACAAATTTATTGCGATGCTTAATTTGGCAACCTTTCTTTTCTTTTGAAACAGGACAAGTTTGGCGACATATTCTGGACAGTTTTTCAGGAGCAGACATAACCACTCGGACGCCTACCTTATTACCAATCTTTTTAAGATTGTGCGCCACACTATGGATATAGGGGACAACAGCCGTTTTTCGCTGCTGCAGGGAAGTGGTAATACGCTGCCTACTTTGTTTCTTTAGGTCCCTATGTAGCGATTCAGCGACGCTTATAACCATTCGTTGTGGGTAGCCTGCTGCCTTCAGACGCAAAACCTGTTGCTCAAAGCTCTTCTGCATGAGGTGAAAACATGACTTCTTCAACGAATTAAAAAGGCACATTCGCGCAACAGACCTCTTCACTACTTTGGTATGTGCAGAAGAGAAAGGCAACAATGGCTTTTTGCTCCTGGGCTCATAAAGCCAGCAAACGTGGTCATCTTGAAATTGCAACGACAGATCTAGGAACCTGAGCGTGTCATCATAGGGCATTTCATGTGTAAGTTTCAGAGGCTGGCTGGATTTTTGTTGTCTACCATTTTTATCTTTTTTATTCACTTTGCTCTTTTTCTCTTTTCTTCCCCTTTATATACTCTGACGTTTGAAATAAACGTTTAGTTGAAGTTAAGCGCTTGTGTTGTGTGTTCTTTGTTATAGTGGCTGCGCTTCTTAGCAAGATGACGTGAAACAACTTGATGTTTTTTTTGACAGATAGCGCCACCGTCAAAAAATGTTTGCGAGCTTTATTATTTTTGAAAAATCTTTTGTTTCAAGCACCGCTTCGTAAAGTTAGTGAGTACTGGTGATTACAAGACACTACATGGTCCTGCTAATGTGCAATACTTGTTGTGAATTAGCCTACAAAAGACAAAAAAAGGAAATTTGCACGAACCTGGCAAGCAGAAAAATGAGCTAAATTCACTGCTGTCCTACAAATTTTCTAATTAACTTACGACAATTTTCTCTTCATAGAAACCTAGGGAAAGGCTTGCTGATTTATTATTGAAGATTTCAGAGTTTCAGCTTGGATAGTTTTGTCCCTTCGTCGGTAATGCCTGACCAAGTAGCGCCATAAATTGCCGTATTGAAGGAGTAATAATTCAAGAACTGTTCATCAGAACACAAAACAACTTCGCGTACACATAATGTACATTGTAGCCTGGAAACCCATTCAATATTGTTGTTCTGCACAAAATAGAAAAAAAAGTTATTACTCATAAACTTTCATTCTTTTGCCCATTTTTATTAGAGCGTGCATCAATTTCTAATTGCTTTACTGGCAATATCTCTTCATAGAAACCTTGCATAACGCTTCGTTAAAAGGATCAGCAAATTTCATTTCGTTATGTTGGACAGTTTTGCTGCACTGGCAGTACAACGGAAGCTTGTACAGCAAAAACGCTGTTTTTTGCTCACACTGTTTTAATTGCTATGAAATAACACTCCAGACTAGGCGAAAATACTACTTGTCATTAGAAAGCGGAGAACGTAAACTTTCATGGTACTTAGATTTAGGTGCGTATTAAAGAACCCTCCATAACAGCATTTCTCATAATACCTAGGTTTTGGGACCTTAAACTCCAAGATTTATTATGTTGTAACATGTCAACCAGGTGATTCCAATTTTGGCAGACCCCTCTGGGTTTTTCATGGTGCTTGCGCCATTTGTTCCCACGTGTTTTATCCTCGACTCTACATTTAAAAAACTGTGTACTCTTGGGATATGTGACATGGAAAAAATATTAGACAAACATGTACGTGCGGCAAATGAGAAATTCACGGCCGCATGCGGTTCGCGGGTTTCAGACACGTACATGCCTTTTTTTTCATGTCGACTTACCGGGCCGAATAGCTGGGAAGTTATGACGAAGTCGTCACTGTGCTGCTGCATGCATTCTTCCATATTTTTCATTTGCAGCAGCGCCCCCGGGACCCAACGAGAACGCAGGTTGAAAAATCTCACGAGGCGATGCTTGCAGAAGTCCTCAAGGGCCTCGGCACGGTCAAACTGAAGAAGGTCGAAAAGTGAGCAGACCAATGCTAGCCTCATAGCGGTGTTCTATCTTTCTGTGTGTGTTTGTGTGTGTGTCATACAATGTGACCCTGCATGTGGGCTCGCCTTGGTGTCATTGGAATGACTGAAAGCCGGAAAATTGGCGGATAATTGTGGCGCGGAACAGCAGATGTGCCAATGTTCGTACCGACAGGAAATGAGAATATTGGTGTAAATATTATGTGAACATTTGTACTGTCTGTGTGCTCTAAAATCTTGGTGGTATTGCACGAGCTATTTTCTTTTTCTTGCGCATTTTACAAACTTCGCACAGCGTAGTAGTCTATAACCTGCGTAAGTCGATGGGGCACAGAAGTTGACTTTTTCATAGAGAGAACATGAATACTGTAAAAACTCATCAATTTGGATTACATCGAATCGGGAAAAATGTCTGAACTAACTGAATGACTAATTATTGATGCCTCTTACATAGGGCATTTCTGTATTCTTGATGAATATGCAAGTCATGTACTTATCCTGCAAAAGACTAGTTAAAATCGGCAATTTCAGTCAGTGTGACCGCGGCTCAAGTGTTAAGACAAAGCATGCGCTGAACCTTTCCCTTATGTACCACCAGCACTACCATGCACACGTGACTTTTTTTTTTTTTTTCGAAGGAGAAGTGGAAGGCAGCTAATCATTTATCATGCACAATGTAGCAAGCAAGTTTCATGCCAGCAGTGGACCCTGGCTGAAGTTCTTCCTCTTCAACGGCTTTTGTGACATTACCCACGTATTGCCTGAAGCCACAATTAAGCTTCCGAGTGCCGCATGTGGTGTGGACGAAAGCAGGGTTCCTAGAGGCACTATCATAGCATCCACCTTTTCTGAAGGAACGCACATGGCCTACGTCTGCAGCCGAAAGAAAACTGTTGAGCACCACATTCGCTGCTGCACAAGCCTGACTTGCTAATGCACAAACCATGAACAGTAATTGTGCAGTTCTGGAGGCGCATTGGAGAAAGAAAACTGCTGTTTGTGGCAGCTTCGATACCCGTGGCCATCGACACGATCTTGCTCAATGCAGGTCACATGCACCTAGTAAAATTAAAAAATGAAACGAGCTTGCTGCAGGCACTAGAGCATTGTTCCACAGCAACCCTACTGTAGTAAGATTGGGGATGGCAACCTCACCATTATGAAGGCCTGCAGCTATTTTGGTTGTTTCCAAACACCGTTCGCCCTCCTTTGCACCGCTTTGTGCTTTGCATGCTCAGAGGATCGTACGAATTAACTGGGTTGCTGCTGAATAGAATTTAACGAATTTTATGCTGTTAAACAATACACATGCTCGCCAGGACCGAAGAACATGCCTGAATTATCACATTTTACGAATTAATGTGGGTCAAATACATGACCTTTTACTGTACTATGAGAGGTTATTTTGTGGGGTCACCACCATCTGTCATTGATACAGCAGGTGCCACTCATACTGTTAGACACAATAACGGTTAGAACAGGCAGCCATACTAGAATTTGTTGCTATGTCTTCAGAATGGTGGTATGCCTTGTGCGCTTCTTCTGCTATTTTTATGTAAATGGTCCTTTAAGCGTATCACTGCTTCCTTGCTCAAACCACGTCCAAAAGTCTGGGAGCCTTCCATATGCAATTTTCATGTAAATGGTTCGTTAAACGTATCACTGCTTCCTTGCGCACACCAAGTCCGAATGTCTGGGAGCCTTCTATATTTCAGAATCTTCTATTGTACAATATAGGCTGGAGTACGCTAATGCGAACAGCTGAGTTCATTCTGGAACAAATGCGGCTACCAACGCTAAGGCTCAAATGTTCAGTGCCGCATGTACAAATGCTGATGCACGTCTCTGCAGGTTAGTGGCAAACAGGGCCAATGCTATCAGTGTATACAATGTACATCGTGTATTGCTTCGTAGTCTCTTGGTTACCCTGGCGCAAGTACACCCAGTAAACGGTTCTGTCTTGAACACGCCGACTTGCTTTCGTCAATGTCGCAACCGCGTGACAATATCAAGAGTTGAGCTTACTGTATGTGCCTTTTTAGGACGTGCTTCACTTTGTGCGTAATTCTGGACTGATAAGCCTCGAACACTGCTCGGCCACATTTGATGCATTTTGCAGGTCACCGAGTGGCACCCCTTTGCGGAAGAGCGGAGAACCGGACTCCTCTACAACTACGGATCCGGCTGGCATGCTGGCTAACGCGCTCAAGAAGCGCTTTGTGCACATCCACCCTCCAGACAGCTCTGACGACTCTGGTGCGGAGGCATGGAGTCCCTCCTCACCAGACGTACAGGTCAAGTGCAGGGTCGGTGTGGGAACAATTTCAACTGCTCATAAGTATTTAACTGACCAGATACGCCATTGTCTGTGTCATATGGTGCTGATTAGATTTCTTCAGTACACTCAAACCTCGATATAAAGAACCTATATATAGTTAAACCTGCTTATAACGAACCTCTATATAATGAATTTCTCAATATAATGAAGTTTTTCTATTCCCCGTCGTTGCTTCATAGAAGCACATGTATTTGGGACCTCTATTTAACAAAGCAACAGCGGGAGACAACTTTGATATACAACGAATTTTCCCCATGGACATGCCAAGAATTCGGCCTCAGATTTTGTCATTTTAGTACGAGCATGCATTTTCTGCGGGTGCCCTGCCAACGACAAAGCGTAAAGAGGCGGCGGCGCGTTTGTGGCCAAGCGCTCGGGTGAGCGCAGGCGGGCCTGCGCTCCACGAGCCAGCGTTGCCACCGCAGGTGCATACATGGATGTACCCCCCTCCAAACCAAACACAAGAAAGAAAACTTTCTTTGCATTGGCCACACTTTTAGTTAGCGTCACACACGTGGGGCTGTGCTGCATATGAAGAGAGCTTTACTGAATAGTTTTCCACGGTATCTCTGTCGTTTGCACTTCGTTTTCGGTGCTGTGCGCGCGCACAAGGTGTGGCCCTCGACGACGTTCATCTTAGATTTTCTTTCCTTTTTTTTTTTTATGAGGAAAACCATGTCGACCCTGCAGAGGGCATGTCAGATTAGGCCCTGATGAAAACTCTCCGAGACTACGGTGGCGACAGATCTTCGGAGGTCGACTCGTCACACGCCTTCGCCTAGTGCCGTTCCGCGAGTTTGCAGGTTCGTAGCCTCCGTGATATGCCGATTCGCTCTGGCAAGAACGCGACGGCACATTGAATGCAGTGCATTAAACGCGGTAGCAAAAGTATTGTAATATTAGTTATATCAAGTAAGGCTGGCAGCTAGCCAGCTTTTTCGGATCGGATATCGCGGAACTCCTACAAAACGCTGATGTGAGCAGATGCGTGATGTGTTTTGTCATGTCAGCAGATGTGTTTTGTCATGCTCGTTCGAGACTGGTGGTTTCCTCCCTGTTTGAGCATTTGACGTCGGTTCTAACACGCAGGGGTGTTATTTTATGCACCTTCGGGGCAATAGAGATTAGCCGACTCATTTGATCTCTACTTCAGCAGCGCTCGCACACTTTTACCTGCTCATGATAGTTAAGATGCGCGGGGGCATGTTATAAAATTAGACTTGTGACGGAACATGGCGGCGGCACCAAACACCCGTCGAGAGTGTCCATATAATTGCTATCGCAATAGTAATGCAATTTTTTACCGCTAAATAAGTATTTTCAACTAGCTCTGCCTTCGGTCTCCCTTTTGTTTAATTTGTGCATTTATTTTTTATCTTCAGAATTTTCGTACAAAACCTGCGTATAACAAAATCCTCCTTAAGGGGAGATGCGAGTCGAAAAACGCCAGTTTTTTTTTTTTTTTCAAAATTACCGATTTTTTATTTTAGCCTGTTTTGATAAGATTAGTACCTCTACTGTTATGAAAAAAAATAATATAGGTCGTGACATAACTGGAAATGTTTTAAAATTGAGTCTGAAGAGCACAAGGTGCCTGTTAAAAGGTCGAAAGTGTGCAGTCTTCGAGCACCTTGCCACCGATAATGCGCCGCCGCTCGCCATTGTTGATCGCATGAGTCGAAAAGTCGAGCTTCACTCTTCAAATACCAACAGTTTCTCTCGCTGATGCAGCGCAAGAAATAATAAAAAGAAGCACTCGTCTGCGTGTTTTTCGAGCGCCGCAACTGTCATATCACATGGTACGAATCAGGGACGGCCATTGGCCGCTGCACGACTGTATGTTCTGTGAAACCTATTTGCGGGGTCCATGCCTTGTCGAGCAGCGCAGCTGAACAATGCTTTTCTCGTGTAATTATCTCCGTTATGAATGAAAAAAGTCATTGCTCGCAAGGGAAAGCCGTTGTGCGGCATGCTCTGTAGGAATAGGCTACGAGCAGCTGGTTCGATTTGCGGCAGTTCTTGGCTTGCAAAAGCCAATGCATAAAAAGTAATTCGCACCCGTCAGCCGGAAAGTTCGTGATGCGCCAATGGATGACGTCAGCACCAATGTTGAGAGGCCGAAAGAGCTCGCAGTGAGAGAACTTAGCAGGGACGACATTGCAATTATGTACGACAGTATGTGGCACAAGCATGGCTGCAAAATGGCATGACACTGGACTTAGTTTGGATTTCGCAGTCCTGTCGAACTTCTTCCTAGCTTGCAGTTGGCACAAGGCTCTGCCAGATGGAGTGGAAGTTTGGCAAGCGTTTCATGGCCCTGTCCGTGAGCGAAATGTCTGTGAGGAGGTAGTTCGAAAAAGCCGAGAGGGACAAACTCATGGTGCTGGCGTATTTTAGTCGCAGTGGCCACTACAAGAAGGATTGTTCTTTTTGGTGTGCAAATTTCATCTGATTTAATGATATCTTTCATAAATAAAAAGTCAATTTTAACTTTAAAACTCGTTTTTCTCAAACCATAAATTTTGCCATTTTTTCCAATGTGCCCCTCATTTTTCGGGCACTTCCAGTGCTCAGATCTGCATGAAATTTTGCCCAATTTTTTTCTAAAGTATGACAAATGCAATTATCTAGTTTAAATTTCGATATTTTATTGTGTAATGAAAAATTGTATGTATACCTTTACTTGGTTAGGTGAAATATGGACTTTTTACGCCTATTATTTTTCACGCATATTACATATTTTGTTTGCGCTTCCTAATTAGTTATTTGCACTCTACACTTTATTGGAAGCATTATGGGCTATGAATGGTAAAAAATTACAGAAGTTTAGGGATGAAAAAAGGGGCAGCAAAAAGTTTAAAGTTTTCACTTTGTCATGTTGCAGAGCTAAAAGTGTGTAACTTGCAAGAAAACTAATTATATATTTGAAATCAGCATAAAAAGTTCCATAAACACCTCAAGGTTCATTACTCTAGGGTGAATATTAAAATAAAAAAGTGTCTTCGAGTAGCATCTCCTCTTAAAACGGAAGTAAACGAAGTCGGAAGTAAACCATTTCTTTATCTCTAGGTCTTACTGTATGACGAAATGTCAGTTATAACGAATTAAAATAAATATAGTCTTGCAATATATATAATGTTAGGACTACTGTTATAACGAATTTTCGGAATAATGAACTTGTTTTCATGTAAGTTGCAACTCTGTTATGAGGCTTTAGTGTATTTAACTACAGAAACACATATTGCAAGCATATCTATAGACTATAGAACTACGGATATACAGTCGAGCTCCGCTACAACAAACGCCGCTTCAACGAAATTTCCGCTACAAAAAAAAATTCACGACTCCCCGTCAGCAGTCCATAGGAGTCAATTCATAGATATTGTCGCCACAACGAAGACTTTTTCTTCGATTGTCCCTCTTCAATGAAATTTTACGATGCAATTCCAGGCTCGGATACTTATTGCTATGCAGTGAACACAATCTTTAACATTTCGATGCATTTTCAGAGCCTGAAAATGCACTAACGAAGTCTACAACACGCGTTGGCACCACCAGAAACTGCCACTATACCGCCGCTGTTCAGCAAGCATGGGCGCCGCCATTGCTCAATAGCAATGGCAATGAGACTGCCCTGCTTTTGCCACTGGCTTGCTTTTGAGCCGCAGATAATCCGAAGCTGAAGCTCCGTCGCTCAGTTCGTGCTTTCCTTCACGCAGCTGCTGGGTGCAACCGCAGAACAATGCCTTTTTCGATTCCGATGCTTATCATTATGTTCGCGCTTGGCCAGTGTGGTAACTAATTAGAGCGGCTGTTCGTCCGCATTATCAACAAAATCGGCTAGCTGCGAGTGATGTATGATAATAACGGCATAGAATAATGCAAATGTTGCCGCTCCACAATACCCTGACTCCATCTCGGCATTGTCGGATACTTTTGACGGCAGACAGCTGCTGGTGTTAGCGGTTAAAGGAGCACTGACATCAAATTTCAAGATCGAGATGTGCCCATGATTCGATCACTTGGTATGCATAGGTCTTCTTGGCCAAATATTGAATGGCATCCGTCACGTGGAATGTTTCTGTCAGAATTTTCTGTCAAACAGCGTAGAAAAGCTAAGGAGAACAAACGGAAAATAGACTGCTTTGTAACATCTACACTAGTGCTACGTGTTTGGTGTGATACATTCCACAAATACCATCCTGAGTGACGATGCCCTAGTTGCGGTGACTTGTACGCTCCGAGTGTTCTTATCGTGGTGCCGAAGTGCAGAAACGCACTCGCTCATCGCATGTGGTCTTCGTCGCACCTGTTCGAATGATCTCTTAACATTATCAAAATAAAAACCACCTTTAAAAGAACGGCGAAAGAAAAGAGCATGATTAAACGTGTGCTTGTCGGTCAGTATGTCGGGGAATCGTTGCGAGTTGCAGTCGTCTATTTCGAAGCACGGAAAAAGTGTAATGAGGGTGTCTTTTCATATCACGTATGTGTTGCACATCAACACGACTACAAGCTATCAAAAGTGGAACAGCATATAGTCAGAGATCATTGCTAACAAGTAACACGCAGGTATCGTTGAATTTTAGTTCATCTGTAGACTTTGCGTCCATGTAAAAGTGCTAATATCGTGTTAACCGCGAGAGGCTGGGTAGGTGGGGCAATCTGGAGGCGCAAAAAAGAACCTGGCAAGCAGGAAACGTATTCTATTTTTCCGCTGATACTCGTTCGCTATAGCTATATTGCATTGACCCCTCTGCATATACCTGGATGATTTGCACGCCAAAACACACCAATATAGCTAACTCAGACACACGAGCGAACTTTGCTGAAGCGTGTATGCTCAGGAAACTCTGCAGTGCTGCTTGGAACAGCGTCTATTTCGAAATCACTGTTTTTCAAAAGGTTGATCGAAGCAAAAATAATCCGCGACATTCCAGATCGCGGGGATTCCAAGCTCCAGACTATCGTATTGAACTCAAGTCGACACTTTGTACGGCGACGACAGCAATGCAGGTGACAAAGCATGACTGAATGTGTCCGCCAAGCAGACGAAATGTTTGCGGAGCAGCTGAGCCTGACGTCACTGTGGACGTCAGGTCAGCTGTGGCGTGATCTGGAGGTTACCGCAAGGTAGCGCAACTGCTGATGCTCCCAGCACTAAAAATGGCGGGATCGCCGGCTGTTCTGAATAGTGCTAGATACCAGTGATATAAATCAATAAAAGTGATCGTTATTCATCCCTCAGTTGCGTTTCAGGTCTCGAATTGCTGCTACGGGGTCTATAGCTACTTGCTGACGCAAAAATCTTGGCATGAGTAAATTTGATGTCGGTGCTCCTTTAATGCAACTCTTTGGTTCGTCCACGGAAGTGGTTTTAGGTGTTGTTTCAGCGTGCTTTTCACCATGGCCTCGCTATGCATGGGTGAGAATCACGTCATGATGCTGCTGGGAAAGAATAGGAAGCAGCGGACATATTTTGAATTTTGAGAATAAGCGTTCCTTTGTTTTGCTAGCTCACATCAACTATATATTTTTCAATTTCCCTACAACGAAATTTTCGCTTCAACGAAATTTTTTCTGCGCTCCGTCAGTTTCGTTGTAGCGGTGTTCCACTGTATACTCAAACCGCATTATAAGACAGAAAATAAGTTTGTTATACCAGAAAATTTATAAAGGTTATTCTTAACACTATCTATCGCAAGAGTATGCTTTGATCCCTTTGTTATTACCGATATTTCGTTATCAGTGTTCCTTCTATCGAGGTTTGAGTGTGAACAGAAGGTCCCATAGTATAAAAGAAAATGGCAACTCATCTGTGGGATATCATTCAGTGTGCATTCGAATGGGCCAGGCATGCAAACACGAACACTGTATGCTCTCCTTCTTTTTCGAGAGTGTAAATGCATGCCAAAATATGATAAATGGGCTATTCTGTGCCGGCATACGAATGATGAAATGCGTCTGGTGATTGAGGCATGACATAGCGATAATCATGGTTGTTCACGTGTGAGCCAACCGTCGATTAACTTGTATAATGAAGAAATTCAAAATGTCTTGAGATGCATTTTTCTCATAAACCCCCACATGTGCCTGATTGATAGGTTTGATTAGTGCTGTCTCATTTCCTGTTCGAAAGGGTTTCTTGGTGCGCGTCGTTCGGAAGTACGGTGCAGTTGTTTGTGCTCACATGGTTGAGCATTGCACACCCTAGGTGGTGATGGTTGCACCCGGCGACTTGTCGTTTTTTGGAGCTCTCTCAAACCGAAACTGGTTGGCAGTAAGGAGCCTGTAATTAATTATTTGTCTTGTGGTGCAGCAAACAATGTGCCGTGTTATCTCTAACGGGCCCCCAGCAACACATCTCTGCGTAAGAAACGCGACGCCAAAGCTTGTGTTGGTACCCCTTCAGAGAGAGAGAGAGAGAGATAAAGATGCAAGGAAAGGCAGGGAGGTTAACCAGACGCACATCTAGTTTGCTACCCTGCACTGGGGAAGGGATAAAGGGGAGAAAATAGGTTGCACAAAGATGAGAAGGTACACACAATCATGAGCACACTCGAGGAGCACACACAGTCTACAGGCGGTCGCTCAGGTTTGTTGACTTTAGGTAAAGTAGCAGTGCTTTAGTTGCTTTCTGCGCAACTGAGGCAGATGCCCAAGGTCCTAGTATCTTCTGCACACAAAATGGTTCGGGGTGAAGTTGATTCAAAACCATCCGGAGCTGGCATCGCTGGGTACCCCTTCAAGTTATAGTATTACAAAGCACCTGACGCCATGTCACCCTGTGTTGAAACGTGACCGCAGAACTAAAACACTAAGACCATACTTCAGGATCGGCATTCAGATTTTATTCATTGTCCTCATCACAATCGGTGCCAAAAACTAGCCCAATTCGTTACTTTACTTCATTCATTTTCTAGATTGATATCAATATGCTTCTAGAAACATGGTGCCAAGTCCCATTAAGAAATGGCCCATATATGAAATATGGGATATGGAAAAAGATTTCCAAAGGATGCAACGTTAACTGCGATTTGGTTCAAATAACCCCCCCTCCCACATCCCACTTTTTCAGGGTCCTAGCCTTCAGCAGGACTAAATTTTGTAACTACGGCCCGGTAGCTGAAGTTTGTTTGAGAGCCCTGCTCTACATAGAAAGGGCAGGCTCTCTGTTAGTAAGCAACTGTCGTGGAGCACTGCACTTCTACATGACATCATTAAGAAGGAAATTATCGACATCTGTTGCACAACCTGTGTAACCCCGTGAATCCAACAGATGTTACAAAGATATCCTCTACAGGTGCAAATTATGATGCACTGTTTGAAATTGCATCATATAATCGCATGGCCCGATTCCAATTCACTCACTGTTACATTCCAAGAAAGAATGAGTTGTTTTGAGTGAATTTCAGCAATCAATGTTTATTAGCATGTATTTAATTACCTAAGTAATCTGCAATCAATCAGCTTTACTTCTTGCTTAAAGAGAATGATATACTAGGTGCCAAAAGCATTCGCAGTTTGTTTCTTTGATGTACTTGTTTCGAGCATGACAAGTCGAACATAACAGTGGCTCCAGCAAAGTGATCTTCTGCAGCAATACGCCGCGCTATTAAGTCAAGTCACCGCTGGTTGTCAACTCTGGAGGTTTGCACGAATGTGCACACAGTTTGAAGCTATTTGAAGAGACGTGCGGCGCAGGACAAGCCTATGAAGTTGATGTGTACAGTTGTTCACCAATTATACATCCCGCCTCAACCCTCGATCTAACGAATTTGAATATAGCAAAGTGAATAAATAGCATTCAGGTAATGTTGCAAATAATCCCTTATAAAGAATTTTTGGATATATCGAAGCATTTTTGTTGCAGGTGTGACTGTTCTAATGAGGTTTGAGTGCACATGAGCTAGCTACTAAGCGGATCGAGGGAGCAAGTGCGTCAAGAGCCATGACTTCGTTTTTATGTTCTCAGACTTCTGTCCGAATAACCCTGCTGTGTCCCTTTAATGGGACCTTGTACACTGGTCTGTTGTAGGTCCGTTTCAAGGCCGTGGTCTCATGCTTATTGGCAGGCTTATGCCGTCGCAAACTTAGCCTTTTTGACACGGAATGCCGTTTTCATGTCTTCGCAGGCAAACGCAAGCAGGCGGCTTTCCGGCCGTCGTAATCTGGAGATGTCCAGCGTGTTGTCGCCAATGCAAGAAGTGGGCGCGTGAAACCAACTGGGCCTTCAGGCTACGAGGCTGCACGTGGATAGTTTCGACTGTGCTCCCAGCCACTGTCTCGGCACGCGTCCTCTTGCGTGTCATAAGCACCGACCACAGACCGACTGTGCACAAGCCACAGTCGTCGGACGGAATGCGACTCGGTTTGCGCCATTATTGTACAGCAAGATACGCAACATTTGTGCAGTTTTTCAGCAATGGGACTGCAGAATTTTATAATGATGTTTGTGATCCTATACATGCATGGAGAGTGCTCATTTTGTTGTGTGAAATTAAAGTACTGCAGAAAAGCAATGCTTTTTAAAGCATGTATTGTTCACAAGTGTACATACTAAGTCTGCCAGATCGTGAAAGATTTTAGTACATACTTTTAATACTTTGTCTTTATCTGTTAATGTTTCTTATGAAAATGTACATACTACTGATTGGGGTTGTTTTGATCATAGTGCTAGCAATTTTAAGTATTTGTGTTTTAGTCTTTTGACTGTTCATTTCAAGCTTTTGTGCACGGATGTGCATTATTGGCTTCAGTGATTCTTCCCACTGAAACGCAATAAAATTCATCCTAAATCCAGCAACGTCTCTTGCATTCAAATCTGCCGCGCCGTGGCGGGGTAGTTCACGCTACCGGGCCTCATTACTCGCCGACAATAACGTTGTATAAGAAAATCGCGCTATCATCCGTGAGGGTTTACTAACAGGTAAGTGCGCCTTGATAAAATTTCGTCGTTTTTTTCGTTAAGACCAGCTTGGTCAGGCGAATTTATCTATTTTTTAGATCTTATCGGTCCGGCCTTTGATGAAGTGAGGGTCGGCAATAGCGTACTATAAAAGCGCAACGCAGGACCTGTTGACTGTGTAGGTCCGGATCCCATGAGTTACCTCCCGATAATGTTCAGTTTGTCAGTAAATAGGAAACTATTGATTCATAACTCGATGGGAGAATTTGACCTCACTTTTTACATTTTTTTTTTCTGCGAGCTTGTTACAGCTCGCTGGACATTTTGTGACCGTTTGAGTCTCGTAAGGAATGAGGCTTGCGAAATGAGTAACGTCGAGGTAACATTGCAGTAATGTCAGAATGGGCGCTGACACAACACAACGGTTACTTAAACATCGTGTCTCTTTCCTTTGGAGATTGGAGCTTGTTTACAGCGAAAGCGTAACCCGAGCAGTGGGGTTTTAATGAAAGTTGCCCAAGTAACGAGTGCATTCGGCACTATTTTACTCCGGTTTGTTTTCACCGACTAAAGTTACGAAGTGGACGGCAGCGCAACCAGACACAACGAAGACCCTGTGTACAGTGTAGTTAGTACATTGTAGCTATCTTTGTGTACATGTGGGTTTTTGTGCCTCCGTTTTAGCCTGCCGAGTTTGTTTTTGTGTTTTTCATCCATAGTATAAAAAAAAAATTGCTTTCGTCACCAGGTAGATGGGAAACCCTTCTCCCCAATCTATCGATAACGCGCTGCGTAAAAAAATAATAATCATAATAATGCCTTGGTTGTAGTGAGGCCAAGAAAAAAAAATGGTAATGTATACGCATGGAGTCCTTCTTACACCGTGGCATGGAGGAAGGAAGCATCATGTTCGTTGTGTTTCTGTTGCGCGCTCGCCAAAATCGACGCACCGTTCGCAACACGGACGCAAGCAACCGTGTGAAGATTTGTAAAGAAAAAAATGTGTTTTCGAAATTTGAACTCGAAACGAGTGCTATCCATTACACAGTGAGACTAAGCACTAGACCATGCCGGAGATGGAGGCAAGTATGCAAAGCGGCTTTCACTCAGTAAAGTACTGGTTTGCGAAAAAAAATACAGGTCTCACCGAGATTTGAACTCGGATCGCTGGATTCAGAGTCCAGAGTGCTAACCATTACACCATGAGACCAAATACTTCCGACGCCGGGAATCGAACCCGGGCCTTCTGGGTGAAAGCCAGATATCCTAGCCACTAGACCACGCCGGAGACGACCGACAGCCATCATCATGACCTACTACACTCCTGACCTGCCCAGAGAGCACCTCTTCCAGCGCCCACGTTCTAGTTCATACCTTCTGCCGCTAGGGCCGTCACCTACGAGCGGCGTGGCGCTAGGCAGCACCTGTTCGCTGTCGTCTGCTTCAGCCATCGCTGTGGCAGTGCAAATCGTTCTTATTGTGCATGAATTGTGTATGAATGTGTAAAATATGGCAAATAAAGCGATATGATTCCTCGTCAGAGTTGGCTGCATTCGTGTGGACGTTTGAAGCAGAAATAGAACCGTAAAAAAAGCACACAAAGGGTCACAGTGGCAAGCAGACGGGAACTTTTCTACAAATGAAGGAAAATTTATTATGAAAATATTTCTTGAATGAAAACGTAGTCCAACGAGATAAAAAAACTATTGTTAGGCATTCATTGTTCACACTGAATCACGATGGTTCCAGACGATACGCATACACAAATTGCAGAAGATACGCAGAAAACACAGTAGGTCGTGTGCAGAAACTTGCAGACGGCAGATAGCTGCAGTAGTCAGCTCTAATAGTGGCCGCGTGCAGTTTTTTTTTTTTAGATGAGCTGACACCTCAAATGTAAGTATGGTGTATTGCTGCGTGCCATATTGCAAATCGGAACAAGGCAAACAAAGTAAAGTAAGTTTTCACGAGTTTCCTGCCACAGACATACGGGAAGAATGGATCGAGGCAATTGGAAGAAAAGGTGAGTCTTGTGTTTTTGAGAGTCGTTTCAATTCAGAACGAGTTGCAAGCTAGCAAGAAGCACCAGGGTGCTTTAGTAAACTTTATTTCCGTGTGTTATGCTAATTCACTGAGCTAAAAAACATGAAAGCTTTTTTAAAGTACCGCGGCTAATATGGCAGGCTCCACAAATAGTGCCAAGAAATTTAAATATAGCACACAAGAAAAAAGTAAATATACGAAATCTGTAAATTATGTAAAAATGCGTAGCGGTGGGTTGCGAGGGGTTCGAGCACCCTTCCCGAAGGCTGCCTCAACAAATGCCGCCGAAATCCATAAAAAAATTAATGATATGAAATATTTACGTGCTGCCTCCACAGTTTGTCTCTCTGTGTGTGTGTGTGTGTGTGTGTGTGTGTGTGTGTGTGTGTGTGTGTGTGTGTGTGTGTGTGTGTGTTTAGCGATGGACAACTCTTGAACACTGGGTGTCACTGAAGTTAGCGACCGAATTTGGTCAAATGTATTTCTCATCTCAAACCTCTATCTTCCCATACAGCTTTGTTCGTTTCTGTATAAGCTTACTTAAGGTAATTAGAAACGTTACGCCGGTAACGAAATGTGGCGATTAACTGTTCACTCTATATAGGGCTGGCAGGCGGTCGGGTATAATGACATAATTGAAGTCCTTCGTGCAATGAGCCCATCGGCTCTGTGAGGGTTAAGAGACCCAGCCGGTGAAACCGAAATGAGGAACCTGGAATAATCAGCGACAGATACTCTATTTATGTGCGTGCTGCATCTGAGATTACATCATGCATGACAAAGATTCGTTTTGGAGAATGCAAAAGAACAAAAACCACTGAAGTCATCGTCGTCAACGGCGGAGTCATTGTACAGGTTAGAGGTTTGCGCTCTAAACCAAGACCAAGGCGCTCAAGTGCGCCTCGGTTTCGGCTCTGTCGTATTGGGTCGCGCTTCGTTACTGAGCAGCCATTAGGAAATTCAGCTTTGTTATGAAACCTTGTATAGCCAATGAGCTCTTCGAATAAAGGGCTTCAAGTATGCCACTGGACTCGACCACGTACCATCACTAAACATCAATCGACGAATGTAGTCATCTAAAAAGACATTTACAAAGGCTGCGAGAAAATATGAAAATGCACTAAATGGGTATACAGGTACTTCCCCAGAATAAAATCGTGGCTATGCTTTTTCTTAACCTCCCCATTTGGCTTGTTACATTTTGGAAAAATTAATTACAAAAAAGGTGTTATGGACTGTTATTTTGCAATCTTGCTAGCCATGCGTATACGCCTTTACCTTTGATGAAGGTTCAGGAAAGCATCGCTGGGAGCCCAGCGACCGGTCGAAGGTATGCAGCCTGCATTTTACCGCTGAAGATTACAGAACAGTGACGAAAAGGAAGATGTTGTGTGAGCGCCCGCATGCGCACTATAGCGTAGCGGCCTATCTAATCGGCAGCGCCACCTGCGGCGCCTTTACTCAGATAAACTCCAAGCCCAAGCGAGGGCCGGGGACACGTTTTTATCAATCTCGCTCCCGCCTCCGGCGCGTCGGCACGTTTTCATGTTCGAATAAAGCGCATTCTTCTCGTTCACAACGCCTCTCAGCCTTCATGCCTAGCCCGCCCAGCCCTCACAACTGGCGCAGTCGACTCCGAACCATGCCTGGAACGTCGCCTTTTGCCCGCCTCGTGAAGTGATCCGCCGGACTAGCCGCGCGGCGCTCCGTCCTGTGTTTACCGTCCGCCGCCCGATACGCCTTTCGGCCGCTTCGTCCGAGTCATTTCGTGCCTTTGCCTTTTGTTTCGCCGACCGTCGTGCTGACGCCCACCCGCCCGATGAAGTAGCTCGCCTGCAGAGCCGAACCAACTTGACCTGCCCGCCTTTTTCGTCTCTCGTGAGTCTTGTGCTCCTTCTGCTAATTTCTTGTGAACGCCATGCCGCTTGTGAACTGGAACGAGGCTACGCCTGAGGACCTCGCCGGCTTTACAGCAGACTTCCTCCGTGAAGAGTTGGTTCGCCGAAACCTGGACGCTACGGGGCCGAAGGAAGAAGTGATCAATCGTCTCCTCGCCGATATAGCCCAAAACCGCTCAATGACGCCTTTGTCGCCTTCCCCAGATTCCTCAGCGTCCAGCCAGCGCCCGAACACTACGCCGCTTCCTTCGAGCTTCGATGCAGCCCAAAGTACCGAGTTGCTGACGGGTTTACTTCAACAGCTCCTTCAAGTGTCACAACGCGCTGCAGCGCCAGTTCAGGTCACGACCCTTCCAGACCTGTCCGCATCGCTTCCTACATTTAATGGAGACGGCAGCATTTCAGCGTCCCACTGGATTGAAGAGTTGGAACGAACTCGAAACCTAGCTTCGTGGGAGCCTTCAACCGTACTCGCCGTCGCTCTGGGAAAGCTCCGTGGAGCAGCCGCGGATTGGAAAGCAGTCATTGGCCGTCAGTGTCCCACCTGGGACGCCTTCAGGCAAGCTTTCTTGGATCAATTCAGCGCCAAGCAAACCTTACTACAGTGGCAACAAGCTGTTACTTGTCGCGTGCAAGCGCACGGAGAGAACCTGGTCCACTATTCTTTGGCGAAGTTGAAGCTCATTTCGGGATGCCCAGTCACTCTTACCGACACTCAGCGCATAGAGTACGCCCTTCAGGGCATTTCCGACGAGAACCTGGCCACTACTATAGCAGCACAACGGCCAGAAACCGTCGCCGCCTATATGGACATCGTAACGCAGCTTGACCAAACATTGAGCCACTTGTCTCGTCGACTCCCACGCCCAGGGTATTCAAGCACCAAACTAGTAATGCCAAGCCCACAGGTGCCCCACCACAGTGAAGAGGGCACGAATGTTCAGGCGGTACCA